TATGTGTCTGTCATTGCACCAGTACCATGTTGTCTTTACCACTATGGCAGTGTAGTAGGATTTGAAATCAGGGAGTGAGATACCTCCTACCATTCTTCTATTCTTAAGGAGTGCTTTGCTTATTCGGGGCTTTTTTCCATTCCACACGAAATTGGAGATGACTTTTCAATAAAAGATAAAGAGATCCTACTAGATGGGGGAAATATTTATCAATAAGATATCTGAGAAGATGATAGTATATTAATAGGAATTTTCAATACTTATTAATTAAAGATAAAAAATTCAATATAAAATGTGATCAGAGGACAATATCAAACTTTTTACCAATTAAGACATTCCTGTGGCAAAGAAAAACATCTAATGTCATAGTAATTATCAATGAGAGGCCTACAGATCAAAACATTGAGTGACCATTTCACCCCAACAGTAAAAGTCAGGAAAATAATAAAAGGCAACAAACATTAATATGAATGTGAAGAGATAGGAATGATCCAACAATGTTGATGAGATTATGAAATGTTGTAACCACCGCTTTTTTAAAAAAAAATAGAGAATAAAAAATTATTTGATTCAGTGTTCTTACAACTAAGTATATGTCTTAATAAAAAACCAGACATGACGGGAACAGTTACAAGAACACTCATGTAAATCATATTCTAAACATCATTGTGTGTATTAGCCAATAGATGGAAAAAATCTTAGTGCCCAACAGCTATGACAAAAAAAAAAAAGAAACAAAAACACAAATAAACACTGTGAAACACCATTTTTAAAAAAATGAAGAATTTGAAAAATAGTGAGATATGGATTACTCTAGGGGGAAAAAGTTTATTTAGCTAAGTTATCACAAAAGGACATATATTATATGAGAGCACTATTGTGAAAAGTTAAGGCAAGGTTTGCACACAGAAGGAAACATTCTTTGATGGTTACCAGGGATAGGAAGGGAGGGGGATGGGAGATAGAAATTAGTGCATTGATAATAACCCACTTCCCTCAAGGTGATTCCAACTTACGGATACTCTCCTGGGTTTCTGAGGCTGTAATTTTGCCGGAGGAGACAACCTTGTCTTTCTCCTTTACACCAATATTTATTTCAATGAGAATCTCAGTTATACATTATACAGTCATCTATTTCTTATTAGATGACAAACACCTATGAAGTTAGATGAAGAGATTATATTCAATAATGGAGTAATCACCATAATATTGATTTAAAAAAACCCCACAAACACAAACACCAACCCACAGAGCTGCTCAGAGATAAGTAAAGAAAGACTCCATGTTATTAATAATCAAAAACATTTATTAATTATATGGAAAGATACATAATTTGGGAAGAAGAAAGGGATTACACATAGCATACTACATATGTTTGATGTCAATATGTCCACGTGATAGATGTTGTTGTTGTTATGTGCCTACGAGTCTCCTGCAATTCATAGTGATGCTATGTACAACAGCCCTAAACCCTGCTCTATACCTTGCCAATATCTGTCTCTGACACACCTACCCCCATTACACCAATCACTGAATCAATCCACCTCATAGAGGGTCTTCCTCTCCTGTGTTGTTCCTCCACTCTCCCAAGCACGACTTTCTTCTCCAAGAATTGTTCCCTCCTTGCAATATGTCCAAAGTATGTCAGATGAAGCTTCAGAATCCTTATCTCCAAGGAGTAGCCTGGTTTAACCCTTTCTAGGATGAACCTGTTCATTTTCCTAGCAGTCCATGTTATATTGAATATTCTTCTCCAACGCCACAGTTCAAATGCATCAATTCTCCTATCCTCCCTAGTCATTGTCAATGTCCGCGACGCATAGCAAGTGAATGCAAAGACCATAGACTGTATCAGGTGCACAATTAGTCTCGAGAGTGACATCATTGCTCTAGTACTTTGGAGAGGTCTGACTATTAAATTTTCTGGCTGCTGGTGCCAAGCATACGCAGTAAATATATGCATATAAATAGTGTAGCCACCAGGGGGCAGCCTAACGTAAACTTTGTCACCTTAACCAGGCTTCTTAAAGGAATTGCTTTCTGGTCTCAGATCCTTAAGGCCTATAGTCTCTGGAGATTTTCTAGATCTCACATAACATGTATCTCCGAAACTTGCTAGTAATTATTTAAAATATAACTAACTGCCTCTACCTCTATGGAACAAAGAGCGAAGAAGAAAATTGTTGTTCCATTAAAACAATTAGTCCATAAAAGTAGTATTGCCCAATAAACCCAAATTCTGTGATAATGAGACCAGCACAAATAGATGGCTTCTGTCTACCACTGCTGACCGCTGTGAAAGGGTTCACATTAGAACATAGTGAACAGAGTATGAGACAAATGAGAGAAAAAACACAAAAATCACAGTAGTGACCAGACTTACTTGTCTGATATGGGACAGAGACAATCATCAGCCTAATGAAAATTCTTCACACCTACAACTGAACTCACCCTTGTGACTCATATTTCAGCCAAACAAGAATAAAATCAAGGATGTGTTCACTCTTAGAATAACCAACTATACAAGACCAAAATGGCAGAACTTGGTAAGATATAAAATTCAGAAGGCAGGAAGGTAGAGAATTAGAAAGATGAACGACACCCAGAATCATGAGGAGGAAGTTGGAAGTGTGCAATTAAAAGGAGGAGATTTTAATTAATGTTACAAAACAAAACATAGAAAAATTATTGAACTGAAAGTAAAACTGCTGTGTAAACTTTCAATAACTTGAGTATTAAAAAATTAACATAAATAATTTTTCCAGAATAATATCATTAGTCCTTCCAACTCTCCTAGGACACTCCTGTGTGCTCTGGGCTGTGGTCACACAGGGTCAGGCCACTCCACATCTTGCTAATATACAGGAGGAGCACATGCAAATAAGGGTCTTTCTCCTGTTGATTAAAACCAGCCCAGCCCCAACCCTGCAGATCTGGGAGAGAAGCCCCAGAATCTCAGACATCCTAGCTCAAGATTCAGGGCTGAACACAATAGTCACTATGTCTCCCTTTGGCTGGATTTTCCTAGTTGCAATTTTAAAAGGTAATTTTGTAGAGAACAAGTGTATGTGCTTGGATATGATTGAAATAACACACATGTGTAATGATTTTATGACCAGAATGTCATTGTGTTTGCAGGTGTCCAGTGTGAGGTGCAACTGGTGGAGTCTGGCGGAGACCTGAAGCAACCAGGAGGGTCTCTGAAAATCTCCTGTGTAGCCTCTGGGTTCACCTTTAGTAGCTATTGGATGAGTTGGGTTCGTCAAGCTCCAGGGAAGGGCCTGGAGTGGGTATCACGAATTAGTACTGGTGGCAGTAACACATATTACGCAGAGTCTGTGAAGGGCCGATTCACCATTTCCAGAGACGACGATGCCAAGAACCTGCTGTATCTGCAGATGAACAGTCTAAAGACTGAGGACACAGCCATGTATTACTGTACAACGGACACAGTGAAGGGAAGTCAGTGTGAACCAAGACAGAAACTCTCTGTGACTGCCAACAGGAGAGGATCCTGATACAAGAGCAGGTGCAGATGTAGGTTGATGGTGGTGGTTTCCTGTTGTGAACTGGGCATTTGCTGTTGGACAATTTCCCCAGAGAATAGTCATGTAGCTCTCTTCCCCTCCCCACATCTCTCCCCTCAACCTTCCTCTCTAACATTTCCCTTTTCTCCCCTTCTCTCCCTTCCTCTCTCCTTATTTCTCCTCTACTCTCTCTTCTTTTATCCCCTCCTCTACTCTCCCTTTTTACATATTAACCGTATTTTTAAAATATGTGCAGTGAATAAAATTCTGCATGGTCTATAGCATTAGGGTTCTGCTGAAGCTCAGGGCAATCTTTGAGCTCATTGCCTGCTGGACTCCTGGAGCCTTGCTTTTCACTAATACCTTCAGTGTAACTTGTACTTCTTTCTTCAGTGCCATTGGTTCTTAATTAAATGCTACTTCTTGAAGTGATTCAGTGTTAGTCAGTTCTATTTGATTCTTTTTAATTTGTGTATTCCTTCCACTTTTTTATGTTGATTTTTGTTTTGTTTTGTTTATTCATTTTTTTTCCTCAGTCAATACTTTGCTTAAAGAATCCTTTGGTATTGTTACTCTAAGGCCTTGCCCAACTCTTTATAATACTTTGTTCTTCTTTTCAAGCTGCCCTTTGACATCTTCTATTTTTGTGTCCTACTACATAATTTCTCTCATTTTGAATTATCTACACTGAAGAGCAGGTTTCAGAATCTCTTGGATTTCATTTCAGACTTGTGTCTTTCCTGTCCTCCATGACATATTGCTTTCTTTGTGGGTTCTGTCTCAGATCTGATAACATAACTTGTCTAGTCTTGGGTAATTAACATTCAATACTTTAAATCTATTCTGGACATGACTTCTAAATTCACAAAGGATAAACTCTAGGCTGCATTTTAACTTTTGTGTTTGTTATAAAACTCTCTTTCAGTTTTTTATGAGTTTTATATGACTTGCTTAATCTCTAGCTTATTTATGTTTTAGAGGGTTTTTTTTTCTTTTCCCTTTACTTATGTCCAATTTTTTTAAAAGAATATTATTTATTTATACCATCATGACTTTTTAAAATCACTCATACACATTGTTTTAATGATGAACATTTTGATGTAATAATTTCTGTACATTATCTTCTATATAATTCATTTCTATTGATCTATTTGGAAGCTCTGGTGGCCTAGAGGTAAAAAACTGCATTGCAATCCCAAAGATGAATCAACAATCTTCTCTTATTTGGTTAACTGCCTCTGAAAACCCATTGGAGTATTGGAGGGTCAGCTATGAACTGGGTCTGACTCACCAGCACATAACAACAACAACAACATTGATCTATTATGTTTATCTCCCTTTCTCCTCAATTTCTCACTGCGTCTTTCTTTTTCTTTAGCCTCATCAACTTTCTGCTGACCTATTTGTTTCCTTTTCCTTTTTCCATTCTCCTTCTTTTCTTTGACTTATATATCTTGTTCCTATTTGCTAAGTGCAATGTCTTTATTGTTTCTATTATTTCTAAGTTGATCCCACTTGTCGGATAGTCTAGTGTTATAAGTCTCCTTCTTCCATTTCAATTCTTTACCTCCCCTCCATACACCACAACTACCCACCCCTTGTTATACTAGTAAACTTATTCAAGACTTGTCCTTTGTGATTGACTTATTCATTCAAATAATGTTCTCTACACTTTCAGTTATTTTTCTGTTTTCTATCCCATTGATTTCAGCACTAAGTCTTATTATTTCCTTTATTCCAGTGGCTACGGGGTTAGATTGTTATTCTTTTTTCTATATGGTGAACGTGTTGAGTTAGTTATTTTACTCATGTCTTCTTTTTTTATGTGTTTGTTGCTATTCATCAATTGGCTGTAAGTTGAATCCTGAAAGGAAGTTCAGTTCTAGGATCAGAAGATGGAAAACAATTATGTTTTCTATAATCTATAAGATTCATTTGCAGCAGTAAGCTTGACTGTGTTTATGTTTTTTTTTTTCATTTTCTTCCATATTTTTTATTTATTTTAGTCAGGAACACTTACAACGATCCATTTTATACTAATAAACCATAGCACCCATGAACCATCAAGTTCTTCTTCAAGAATTAAGATTATGGAAGCGGAGTTTCAAACTGTCCCTTAATTCTTTGTGTCCTTGATTCTCCAGATGGGTAGAGACAATAGTTGCAATTGACCACAAAATTTTTAGAACTCATTAGAGACTTGATATTGCAGAATATATAATATTTTCTTTCTGTAATGCTATGGTAGTTGATCTCTGGGTGCAGTGATTATATGGTCCTGAGGCTCTCCTTTCCCCTATCTCCTAATGCTAGTGATTCATTTCTCAAGATGTTTCATCAGCCCAGCCTCCTGGATAATCTGTTCTGCATAGAGATTGAAAAGGTATGGAGATAAGACACATCTCTGGTGTACACACTTCCCAATTTTGAACCACGCAATATTTACTTGCTCTGTTCTAATGAATGCCTCCTGATCCACATAAGCATCATCAAGTGTTCTGGTATTCCCATTCTTCTCAGAGTCAGCCACAGTTTATTGTGGTGCACATAGTCAAACACTTTTTTATAGTCAATGAAACACAGATAGACAATCCTCTGGTACACTCAGTTATCAGCCAAGATCCATCTAACATTAGCTACAATATCCCTAGTAGCACGAACTCTTCTAAACCCAGCTTGCACTTCTGGTAGTTCTTTGTTTATATACTGTTCCCGCTGTTTTTGGATAATCTTCAGCAGAATCATGCTTGCCTGTGGTATTAATGATATTGTTCGATAACTTCCACACGCTGTCTGATAAACTTTCTTTGGAATGAGAACAAATATAGATCTCGTCCAGTTATTTGACCAGGTGATTGTGCTCCAGATTTCTTGTCATAAATGCTTAGGAGTTCAGATACAAGGAGAATACTTAATTAATGTTACAAAACAAAATGTATAAAATATGTTGAATGGAAAAGAAATCGGCTCTGTAAATTTTCACTCAAATGGTAGTAAAAAATTTAAAATAAAACTATTTTTCCAGAATACTATCTTCATGTCTGTCCAATATGTTGTTGTTATGTGCCGTCGAGTCTTTTGCGACTCATAGCGACCTTATGTACAACAGCCCTAAACCCTGCTCTACCCTGTGCCAATCTCATTGCCTCTGACACACCCATCCC